TTTTTGTATTGAACATTTCCTCACCGCCAACTCATTTTGTAAGTTTCGCACAAGATACTAAAATAATGTTAAAGTGTTCTTAAGGCCTTCTTTGATGTCAAGGGTGGAAATGGTTAGAACTTGTAGAGAATCAGAACAAAAATATTCCAGACAAAATGACAACTTCAGGTCAAACACATACCGTTTGCACCCGTTTAAGCGTCAATTCAGTAGATGGGCCCCATGAGACGTTTGTCCGTAGTGCAGCAGGGACTTTCCTAAATCTCAACTGTCCGCATTCTCAAAAAGCAGATCTCCATCTACGACTGTACCATTTTCCTTTTCGTGAAGCTATCAGAGGATAGCAATGTGTTTATGATTCCACGATCGTCTTGAAAAGCGTGAACATTACCTCTATGACACTTTGGTTCCTTGGCAAAGCTCATATTCACTTTTCAGGTTATATCAACTCCACAAATGCTGTCTATTTGGGGAACCTCACTCCCCCGCCCTATTGTCTCTAGACACAGCTCCATACTGTAAGATGTACAGTGTGTGTGGTTTTGAGCACTCATGGTTGAGTAGATCTTTGTGTTTGGCCACCACTGAACATTACGAACGACGAGTTAAAATGAGTCGAGTCTAAAGGAAGACATATAGACCATTGGTTCTCGAAATTCCAGAATTAAAAAGAATAATTTAAAAAACTCTGCAGGAGAAAAGAAATACTGTTTAACGTTTACAGGGATGGAAATATTTGTTTTTAAAAATAAAAGGAAAATAAAACAAAACAAACCAGTCATTTCAAGACTTTCCTTACACGATCTATTAAATTGGCGCATTTTGCATTTATAGGTGGTTTTTAATAAAAACCGTTTCCGTTTTCAAAAATAAGGTTCCTCTTTGTAAATTTTATGTCAAACAAATTCCTTTTGAATGAATTGTATCTGTTCCAAATTACAACGTTCTAGTACAAATCTTGTTCGAGATATTTAGAAAAAAAGTTGTACAGGATTTAAAAAAAAATATCACCCTGTATTCTGACCTGCAAAGTGAAAATCAAGACCCCTGAAATGTATGTAAAAGCAACCAACTTGTGTCCTGCGCGCTCATGTGAACTTATTCGGTTTGGGAATGCCGTAAAAATCTTTTATCAAACAAGCAAAATAAGAAAAATGCAACTGACCACCCCCGTCTCCCATTTCCCACTAAATGTCCCGTCGTACGTGATGATTTTCCCTGCTCAAAGACATCCACGAATTGAACATGACATTATTGATGGGAACTTGGCAGAAACGTCTCACTGGGCCTCATCAACTTTAAAACAAAGTGGGGGAAATGTTAAGCCTACATAATGTGGAAGAACTACCTTTTGTTGACAATAGGGATGTCCAAGCTGAGACTTCGAGTGTCGG